GAGAGAATTTTAAAGGTAGTAAGAGAAAAGCAATTATTTACCTATAAGAGAGCTCCTCCATAAGACTGTCAATTAATTTCTCAACAGAAACTTTGCAGGCCAGAAGGAATTGCATGAAACATTTAAAGTGATGAAAAGAAAGAACCTACAACAAAGATTACTCTACCCAGCAAACTATCATTTAGAATCGATAAAGAATTTCCCAAACAAGAAAAGATAAATGAGTTCATTAACACCAGATGACTGTTACAAGAAATGTTGGAGGACTTCTTTAAAAAGAAGAAGAAAACAAAAGATCAAAAATACTACTAATAAAATGGCAATAACTCCATAGCTATCAACAATTACTTTAAATGTAAATAGATTAAATGCTCCAATCAAAAGAAAGGGTGGCTGAATGGCTAAGAAAATAAGACTCTTACATATGCTACCTAGAAGAGACTCACTTCAGATTGAAAGACACACACAGACAGGGACAGAAGGGACAGAAAAAGATATTTCATTAAAATGGAAATGAACAAACATGAAAAGGTAAAGTAGCAGTACTTCTAACAGACAAAATAGACATTAAAACAAAGGCTATAATAAGAGACCAAAGAAGGACCCAGTAATCCCAAAACACTACTTCAAAGGAACATGTGAATCTATATGTTCATTGCAGCGTTATTTACAATATCAAGAAATGGAGGCAACTTGAGTGTCCATCAATAGATTAATGCATAAAGAAGAGGTGGTACATGTATACAGTGGAACATTACCCAAACATAAAAAATTGAATAAAATCTTGCCATCTGCAACAACATGGACTGACCTCATTGTGCTGAATGTAATAAGTCAGACAGAGAAAGTAAATGCCATATGATTTCACTTAATGCGGAATCTAAAGAATAAAATAGATGAACAAACAAAACAGAAACAAACTCAGAGAACATTTTGAGGTTGCCAGATGGAAGTAGATGGGGCGAGGGGTGAAAAGAAAAAGGAATTAAGAAGTACAAATTGGTAGTTATAAAATAATAATGGAGCTGTAAAGTCTGGTATAAGGAATACAGTCAATAATACTGTATAACCATGTATGATGTCAGAGGGTACTAGATCTGTCAGAATGATCACTTTATATGTTATATAAATGTCTAAATACCGTGTTGTACACCTGCAACTAATATAATATTGTATGTCAACTGTAATTAAAAAGAAAAAATATTTTAAAAAGTTCACAATCTGGTAGAGAAAGACTAAAATAATCTAAAATGTTATCATAGATATGTAGAAAAGAATAAATAGTTAGAATTGGGGCACCTGAATACTTTTAAGAAGATGGTGTCATTTGTTCTTGGTCTTTAAATGTTAAGAAGGTATTTAATAGAGGAAAAAATATATTTCTTTGGATAATTATTACCATACAGAGTTAACAGCATTGAGGACAGTTGGGGTTTAAGAATGAGGAAAAAATAAATCAAGATAAGAATGAAAATAATCATCAGAATATGAGTGAAAAGACAAGAACAGTGGATGGTTATAGACATTATGAACAGCTGGAATTTTAAAAGTTAAGGAGTGGCCAATTGTATAATTTAAGGTTACAGTGAAGTGGAGGGTGATATTAAGTATTGACTAAGAATATACTACAATTTGATGATGAGGATTTTTTTTTGTTTATGTATTCATTTGTATTTATAATTGCACTCTTTTTACTTTTTTAATTTCAAAACTTCCTTCCTTCTTATTTCCTTCCTTCTTTCTTTCTTTTAATGTGGCAAGACTTATGAAACTACAGGAGAATGTCTTTGAAATATACAGAATACAGCTCCCAAAATATTTTCATAGACTTGTTATTTTTTTCTGAAATATTTATTATTTCTTCATATCTTGGCATGATGATAAATCCTGGGGTCACAAGGAGAAATTACAGGTTTTTTTTTCCCCCTCAAACTCTCACAGAAAATAAAAAACTCTCATAAAAAATAAGTGAAAACCAAACTCAAGTCAGCATGCTATTTTTACATCAGCAAACAGCATTACTATTAACACTTCTGATCAAGAACTACATCTCCTACAGACAACTTATTCAGTTAGAACCCCATAAGCAAGATTGACGGGGAGGGTATCACGGTCAAAATATACCAAGAAAGTTGCTGAAAATATAAAGTCAGTCTTGGGCTCAAAGCTAGGCTTGTTTGCATTTTATAAGTGTGTCATTTTATCCATGATAGACAACATAGCCATGATAGACATGATAGACAAAACTGGAAGTAGAGGTGTTTTTATCAGTGCAGTGACTCTAACATCTCAAACATGCCTGAAAAGGCTGAAGATTTGATTAACAGTTCTGTTGGCATATGGGTCAATATAAGCTACATTCTGTGATCAGATTCCATGTGTAACACAAAAAGGAGATAGATAATGTAAAAAACAATCAAAGTGCAAGGTCACATGCCTCAAACATCCTGAAAGCACAGAAAAGCAGTTGTAGAATAAATTTTACACTTTCAAATATTAAGTATTTACATTAAAGGAATCTTGTTCTGACAATAGAAAATGCCAGGAAGAGAAAAGCTCTCCTCGAGCTCAGTAAAGAGGGCAGCGAGCACAAAACAGGGGCAAACAATCCAGTTGCATCATCTGCTCCCACACCAGATATCAAGCGAGCTCTTGCTCATGGGACTATTTGCCTTCAAATGTGAAGCTAGTCTGGCTTTAAACGTAGACAAATATGAGCATCAATAAAACATAAAAGGCACAATTACAATTCTACAGGTCAGGTGAGAGATTATAATAAATCTACTAACAAACAGTGCATGCTGATACATAAAATTTAAAAATATTTCTTATGTGCAGAAAATAGGCAATGTGGGTTAAGGTTATATTTTATAAGATTATGTTTACTATTTCTCCACCTATTCATCTCCTCTCAAAACAATATCAATTCAATCTCATTGCTTCTCAATAAAGTATTTTGAACTCTTTAAAAAACATGGAAGGCAGATATATACCCAAGAAGATAGAAAAAATATTTAAAATTCATCTGGATTTTTTTTAAACAACATATTTACTCTTTGTGATTGCAGAAGAGAAAACAGCCACCCTCAAATGAATTGTCATTATTCTCCTTACAACTGCCTCTCTTCCTTTCTTCATTTATAGTATGTAACTTGGGACTTTGTCAAGATTTACAGTGAATAATGCTTTTCATAATGGTGAAGTGAAAGCATACAGAGTAACATGTTACACTGGGAAATTTTAATTATGTAATAAATGACACTTTTTTGAAAAGTAGTAACTTTGCCATTTATGGCTAACACAGCATAATTTGGGTAGTTTCCACCTCTATGGTTTGATCCTCTGTCTCTGTTTAGTTAATTCTTTTATATGGGTTTCAGAATGAAAGGCTGAGAAGCCAAGGAATAACAACATTCCAGGAAATATAAATATCCATCAGGTATGAAGGGTTTAGGGGAATGAGGAATGGATTCAGAGGCAAGAAAAAACAGTAGTAGAGAGTACAAGTAGTTCTAGAACACTCAACCATGTTTCAAGGAAACATGTTCTTTCCCCGCTTTCTTTTATCTATTGAGCCTCTCTATGATATTTTATTTGAAGAAAAGGTATAACTATGAAAAAAAAGCTAAGCTATGAAAAAAAATTGAAAACCTTGGATATAATCCAGCACTTTTGGTACATTTGGGATCTTGCTTCTTAGGAAAGTATGCATTAAATTTTTCTGAGTTCATTTAAATGATGAGAATTCAGTGTTTAATGTAATAAGGAAAAAGCTACCTGATATCAGATGGTTAGGGATCAGGATCGGGGAGGGGGAGAATAATCAGTCTATTAGCAACCCATCCCTATCTGGGTTCTCATTATGACAAATATAGTCATTATGACTTCCATATCTAACAGAATATTTTGTAATAAGAACAACTCCAGACCTAATTGTTTGTAATCCTAGATGGCTCCGGACCTTGCCATAATCCTTGAGAACCCCATTAGTAAACCATCTGCAAGGTTGCAGCCAGTATTAGAATTCTACAAGTTTCATAACATACAGATATACATACTGAATTATTCTTGTCATTTTAATATTACACTTAGATATAATTTAATACATGATATATACACAATACATATTCAAGTGTTAGCATTCATTTACCGTAATAGATGACAATGAGTTTTATGATTCTCATTAAACAACTCTGTAAGTCCTTGTATTACCAGGAAATAAAAACTCAAAAATACTGTGGTAATTTATTAGAGAAATAGATGTAGTTATTTTAATCCAAAGTTTTGATATCTCTAGCAAATAAAATTTAAGTCTTTCTTTTCAAAAGTAACACTTGTCCTAGCACCGGGGCCACAGACAATATTCACCTTCTACTTCCTTTGACTATGCTGACCCACACTCCCTTTCTGAAGGTATATTTGATTTATTTTACAATTTACCACTATTTCATCCTTTATTGTAAAA